TGAAACGGTATTTTTTTGTTGTGAAACGTGAATCATACCCCCTCCCTTTCCCACCCTCATTAATCGATGTCGAATTTACAGAAGTGTGGGACTTTCAGTGTTAAGATTGGGGTTTTTAGGGATACCATTAAGGTAATTTGTGGATAATTGAATTATTGAAGTCAAAGTTGTCAGAACTGGTTTGTATCGGTTTGTATTTTGCATGTATACCAAGGCAGAACCGAAACACTCAACAGAAAAAAACTAAGGGAAACTGAATTTTTCTTTCAATATAGAGTATTGCTAATTTAGAATTTTTTTGTGCTCGATATTTTTTTTTGCTGGTGTTAGTGATGTTCGATTTTTTTTTCTTCCATTCGAGACATGCTCGATATTTTTTTTCGGCCCTGCCCCCCCCCCCCATAAAAAATCAAATGGTCCGTCCCTTACTGATTACTTATATAGCTGATAAATTGTTAGTAATAGCTTTTCTCACGCCGCCATTTTTGGTGTACTACTTTTTCCAAATCTGAGATTGTACGCAGTGAATAAGGGATTTGTATAACTATAATTGTGAGTATAATCATTATAAGTTAATTTACAGTTAAATATTTGAAAAAATGTTTTCACATCGCTTAGATTTCTCACGTCGTTTTCAAAAAAGTACCCAAAAATGGCGAATTTGGCTTTCGTGAGAAAGGCTAATTGCTTCATTGTACTACAAGTTACACAGTAGTAAATGCTAACCTTTTCAATAGCCGAATTCATATTAGGGACGGGAAACTCGTCTTAGACGGGAAACTCGTCTGCGAAAAAACGGGAAACTCGTCTGAATATGAATTTAGGGACGGGTAAATTCGAATTTAAGACGAGTTTCCCGTCTAGATGAGATTCCCGTCTAACTTTCCCGTCTGTTTAGACGGGTAAGTTAGACGGGAAAGTTCGGACGGGAAACTCGTCTGCGCCCGGATTCATATTAGACGAGTTTCCCATCTGAGACGAGTTTCCCGTCTAAGACGAGTTCCCCGTCTCTAATATGAATTCGGCTAATACCATCAATAGACACTTCCGGAAAGTACTTAGCATTGGCAAAAGAACCTCGTTTTCATGATTCAGATATCCGTTTTAGAGCGCATTATCTTGTTACTGATGACCCAAGGTCTTTTATAATATCTATTATTATATAGTAGAGAGTGAGATACTGAAAAATACACGTCACAGTGCCAAGCCCAGTTTCCATTTGGTCGTTAGTTGTCGCTGGCGCGACAAGCGGTAGATGTGAAATAGTCTAATATAATAATAGTCTTTTTGTGTGTTATATGCAAATCAGTCTTAATGATTGCAGAGTTTTATAAAGTTTTGTTGACACTCTATTACATCAGCCACTTGTCATGCCAGCGACAACTAACGACCAAATGGAAACTAGGCTTCAGTGACATATTTTCCATATCTTCACTATAGTGAAGATATCGATCACGTGACTTTTAGTATTTATAATGTAGTACTTTTAGTATTTTTTAGTATATAATAAACAGAACATTACACGGTTAAAAACAATATTTTACTCACTCGCTGCGCTCGTTCGTAAAATATTGTTTTCACCACTCGAAGATAAAAAGTCATATCTTCGCGCCGCCGTGTAACATCCTCTATATATTACTGTTTGATTTCGTAAATGTGTCACCTGTAACAAAAGGACTCTAAATCCAGTATCAAATCACGAAAACGAGGCTTTATAGACAAGGTTGAACACTTTCTGAAAGTGTGTATGACGCTCTATTTCTTCACATATCTGAAGGACTATTTCTTGAATTATATGCAAGTATAATATGGACTGATGTAACGATATAGCTTTCGTACCTCCATGTGATCAGGAACCCACTGTAAATCAGAAACAGCACTTTTATGACTGTGTTCAATGGAGGAGACAGCACAATAGCGGACAACTGGAGTGTGATCTGTGTTCGAATCATCTTCAAAACCAGGCTAAAAAATAATATAAATAATTACTTTCATGTTATATTTTGTGACAGGTGGAATAATAAAACTTTGTCAAGATGGCTTAAAATGTTAATTAACAAATATAACTATATTAGCACTGATGAAGATTAGCACTTATGAATGTATTGATGGGTCTGTATAAACATATAATAACAAATTACCAAAGAGGTCATTGTATTCTTCTTTGCTTTCGATGTTTGTCGGTGACTAAGTAGACGATCATTCCAACTACTTATGTCCCACAGTACAACCTGAAAATTGTAAAATATAATTCAAGATAGATTATTTAGTGTCGGTGAAACACTCCTCGACCACCCAGGCAAAACAACTATATTAATAGTGACTAATACTCACGAACTTGGTGGAAGGTTCTAATGAGAAATATAAATAGAACTTTGATGTTTCGACCAAGGGCTATACCTACACTTGACTCAACAATGGAGACACATCCATGGTACGAGGTTGCAATGGAGATACAAGGAATTATTATCGCGAGAAAAGTGCTGCCTCAAAGTTGACGCTCACAATAGATAGATCGGGAAAACGACTGGTCAGACATTGAACTGTCTTTACCAGTGTAGGTTGAGTCAATGAAATGAACAAGCATTCGTTGGTAAGGATGCAACTACCTGAAATGATATATGATTAGTTAGTTGCATCCCTGCCAACGAAAGCTTGCTCACACATTAGGCTATTTCGTGTTGTTTAAAGCCTAGTTTCCATTTGGTCGTTAGTTGTCGCTGGCACGACAAGCGGTAGATGTGAAATAGTCTAATATAATAACAGTCTTTTGTGTGTTATATGCAAATCAGTCTTAATGATTGCAGAGTTTTATAAAGTTTTGTTGACACTCTATTACATCAGCCACTTGTCGTGCCAGCGACAACTAACGACCAAATGGAAACTAGGCTTAAGACACCCATGAAGGAGCACTGCTCTTCACTAAAATGAATGCTTACATAACACGCGCGCGCCGTAAAATTTCTGTCAATTTTTTCCGTTTAATACGTTCGGAATTGGAATTAGCTAATTGGACTGGACATCCGTTTATTACGTTCGCTAATTGGAATTAGCTAATTGGACTGGACATCCGTTTATTACGTTCGCTAATTGGAATTAGCTAATTGGACTGGACATCAGTTTATTACGTTCGCTAATTGGAATTAGCGCAAACTATAACGCAAAACATTCAGACAGAAATCCAAACCGACCGAGCGACCGACGCAAAATCGAGATTTCGACAATATATACATCGCGCTAAAGACTGGATCGTGTGAAACCTACAGAAACGTTATCAGCGTAACGAATAATCCGTTGCCTGCCTGAATTCGTCAGTATTCATGCTGTTGACTAACCTGCCCATTGACACATCCTCCTGCAATTATTGTTGGCTCGGATGGATTGAATTTAAAACTGAAGATATCATCGGGAGCTTCCAAGAGGAGCTAAAACAAAAACACGTCTACAAGGTCAGGACAGATTTGTATACTGTATAGTGGTTTCTATGATGGATTGCACTACTGTAAACATGTTGAAACCAAATATAGCGTTACTATATTATAAAATCATTGCCCTTACGTAATCCTACCTTAGCTCAAGTGTTAACCTAACCCTAGTGCCTAACTCTGGTGTTAACCTAACCAATTAACTCTGATCCTAACCCAGTCCTAACGCCAATCCTATAACCTAATACTAAGCAAACGTAAATCTGCGCACCAAGTCACCAAAGTTATCGTAACATCATTTTAGGACATTTATTTTGAGATCTAGAAGCACCTGTGGATGTATTGGATCGGAGAAACTCCATATTAATATTAATGATGGTGTCATAATAATTCTTGAAGCATTATCCACTCTTTCGTCAAACGACATCAGTTCTGCACAGGATACTGCAATGATACCTATATATACATGGTGAAAAAATAAACCATTGATGTTGGGGCGGTTTATCGATAGACCGATAAATATCGGGGGGTTATCACAACCGGCTTTTTTGGAAAACTGACTGAAACATCTTATAGATTGCCATTCATTCACGCAACATGCAAGTTCGGTTCCTATTAGGACAATTCACCATAGTAAAGATGGCGGATGTCGATTTTACCATAATGCTTTGCGAACCTAATTGGTTATAATAAGTGTAACGAACTTCTTACACATTTTATTATCTTGATAATGCCGTGCTGAGTGGTTATATTACCACCTTAAAAAATAAGCAGAAACTCGACGTTTCGAGCGAAGGCCCTCCGTCAAGAGTTGACGAAGGGCCTTCGCTCGAAACGTCGAGTTTCTGCTTATTTTTTAAGGTAGTAATATAACCACTCAGCACAGCATTTTCACATTGGTACTACCCACACTGGTACAGACAGTTTTAGTATTATCTTGATACTATTTCTTTTCGGGTATTTTCTTAAGGTTTTAAATTTTTTGCAATACTATTTACGCATAAAAATTTAATTTATATCGGTAACTGGATGATAACTATAACGGTAGCTACATGACGACGATTGCATATTGGACATGAAAATAACGCCAGATCTGTATGAATATTCGAGTGGCGATAGCAATCTTTTCGCGTCCTATGGACCTTTCCCCTTATAACTAAAATTTTGATCTAGACAAGTCTAGACAAAAATTTCATCACAGCTTGAAAGAGCATCACAAAATTAGTAATATTCCGAAGTTTCGTTGCGAAATGTTGTAAAATGCGAATAATATAGCCCTGCGAAATTTGCAATTTTCAGTCATTTTGTATTACAAACGGGAAATTGATGCCCCAACACCCGATTCACAGAAGGAGAGACCCTGGGAACGAGGTTGCACCAGTGAACTATATACATGGAAGGCTGACTTCAGTCAGTGACGTTAATGCTGACTTCAGTCGATGACGTAAAGTGGAGCCAAAGATGGCGGATTTTGAAGCCATTCTTGCGCGTCATTCTCAGTCCCCTTACGTGCGCGGCCAAACTTTTTTATATTTTCATGGTGAGAAGTGATGGGTCCGCGACTCTCGGGTTGTGTTTTTCTTCATTTTAAAAGAGCAAAAAAGGAAATAAACTTCATTTATTTCATGTAAACCTGATTTCCTTCATCTAATCGATCTGTCTACTGCATTTCCCCACTGTATGTGTGAGTAAATCTGTATTTTTCGTTGCGAATTCAACAACTAATTTCAAACGTTTTTTGTTTTTTTTGAATAAATCTGTATTTTTATAAATTGGGAATTTATTTTTGCTTTGGTTGTTTCGCTTTCTTGTTTTTATGGTGCTTTTCAGTTTTCACACCATTATTTAGCTTATTTTAGTCCATTTTCCTGACCTAAAACTGCTTTTTAACTGAAGTTTTCGAGGCAGTTTTTAGCCAATTTAATTCCATACATGTAAGAAACGTTTGTCTTTTATTTTTTATTTAATAAAATCACTTTGATGATTGCCTTTTAAACTTAAACTGTTCATTTTAATGAGTTATTTATGTGTGTGAAACCCTTGTCAATAGGGGCAAATACAGATATTTTGAAAGATTGAGTGACATTTGTGTTTTGTTTTGTCACTCTTTGTCATTTCCAAAAACAACAATCCCGCGCTATTTTGCTTTCTTTTCACTCAAATATCGCATCTTTTAAATAAATAATAATTAAAATTTAGAACCGAACCCAAACAAAACACCAGAATTCAACTTTTCATTCAAATTTCGTCTGTTTTTCACCAGATTTTTACTCGGAAAGTAAAGAAAAATATAAAAGTTTTGTTGACCGCGCACGTAAGGGGACTGAGAATGACGCGCAAGAATGCCTTCAATTTCCGCCATGTCTGGCTTCACTTTTTGAGCTCGAGTCAGCCTTCCATGTTATATAGTTCAGTGGGTTGCACCCGATTGGGCTGTCAATTTCCCATGCGTAATACAAAATGACTGAAAAACGGCAAATTTCGCAAGGCTATATTATCCGAATTTTACAACATTTCGCAACGAAACTTTGGAATATTACTAATTTTGTGATGCTCTTTCAAGCTGTGATGAAATTTTTGTCTAGATCAAAATTTTAGTTATAAGGGGAAAGTTCATTTGCCGTCCTCTCCGCGTTACCGTCAAAGATTTGAAACTAGCAACTCTCAATACTCATGCAATACTCTCAATACACCTTGCAATTTAAAAGTAGTATATGTACCTTTAGCAGTCGGATGCCATTCAGTATTTGTTATCACTTTCTCTTTACTGTACAACAAATCAGTAAATGACTGATACTCCTAAAAAGTAACATCAAGATAACCACATGCATAAACTGTAATGCAAGCGCCTTTACCTCGTCACTGATAAGTAATACGCCTGTACCTTAAGGTAGTTATCTGATTTTGAACCAAACGTGCTATCTTCAATTGCCAAAGAAACGTAGTCATCATAAAATACATCCATGATTTCATTCTGTTGTAAAGCCAGTTCAAATCTAAATAGAAATTATGCTGGTGTTCAGACGAGCCTTGTGTAAAGGGCTCGCACCCCTAGCGAGACCATGCGTCGAAAGCGTGACTAACGTAAACACGAGATGAACAGTTGGAAACTAGTATAGAAAGAAACCAAGAAAATACAAAATGTTTTAATTTTGACAACCATCTATACAGTGCTTCCTTGCTATTTGCGTTCACGTCGTCTCGTCTTTGTACTAGACAAATTAAACATCTCAGACGACAAAGACATCTGCTAAGTGCGTCGTTTGGACGTACTAAACAGACGACATTAATTTTTTGTTCGTCTGTCTAATTTCCCGTATTTATATTAGACGACTTTAACGTCCCAGACGTTCAAGTCGTCTCAGACGTTAAAGGCGTCTTCTAGCTAATATAAATACGGCCATTAATTAACAGGGATATTGACTGCCATAGACGACCCCATTCTCTTAGTATGGCAAGATATTTCTCATACTATACATCCCGTACACCTGCACCAGGGAGAGTTGATTCCTACAATAGCCCTAATAGGTCTCAATGAAAAACCCGCCGCATCTTTATCAAACTCGCCTTTAAAAAATATTTCGCTTTAAATATTTAGCGCTAGAATAATAGGATTCATGTAGTATATTTTCTCCCTATAAAGATTAGAGAAACGAACAGACATTCAAACTTGTCTTGAACAGTATCGGATGTATTTCATACCAATATGTCATGTTCTTAAACCTATTTCATTCCACTCCACACGATGCATTGCACCAACCTTGGGGTAACTTTTTGTATGAACTCCAGTAAACTGGGAGCTTCTTCTGCCTCAACTTTCTTTTCTTCTGGTAAAAATCTGGCTTCGTACTGAACGCAAGCATTTCTTGGCTTTTTCCTAAATCAAAATATACACTTTGATATACATGAAGCTCAGTTTAAGGAAAAGTCGTTCACTCCAACCAGTGTGAATTTTCAACAATTCTAATTCGATTTCGTTTGTTTGGTTTGCGGAAAACTTGATGTCTATTTACTATTGCAAAGCTTTCGATCCGTATAAGCCTCATTCTTCGTCGATAAATGAACGTGGTGTGTTCCACAAAACAAAACAAATTATTGCCATATATAAACAAGCAATTAGAAAAAGATGGTCATATCAAAGCAAACTTGGGGAGAAAGAGGATTTACTTTCTCTAAAAATCTAAGAAAGGCGTTCTTTCTCCAGACTGAGAAAATTAATATACCATTGCATAGACGAAAAAAAAAGCTCTGTAAAAGTTCAGGGACAAAACATTATGACGTTGGTACAGTATGTTGGGGAAACTACAGCTCATAAAGCTCATGCCGTGTTCAGCCCCGTACAGACGAGCAAGTTTTCCTCGATCAGTTTTACTTGTTCGTGTGTACGCCAAAAATTGACATGTTTTTCCTTGACAAGGAATCTTGTTCAAAAGCTAGTTATACCAGCTTTTCGACAAGGAAAATTCTTCGTGTGTAGTACCGTGAAGGAATACTGACAAGTAATTCAGCAGAATGGCACTGTGCACTCATCTTCAATCGGCCAATGCCACTAAATATCGCTTTTGAAATGTGGTATCCAATTTCAGATGTTTTCAATTTTGTTGGAAGCAGCTTTGAACGAAATTGTTTACGTACTTAAATAGCGCGGGCTCGTAAAAATTGTCAAGGAAAAAAATATCGAAAAGAACTCGTTCGTCATACACACAAGCAAGTAAACTCGTCAAGAAACTTGCCAAAGAAAACTTGCTCGTCTGTACGGGGCTATATAGACTCGCGCTACGACACAAGTCCAAGCAATATCTGTCGACTGATATAATTGACCGTACTGTGCATTATATATAAGAGTGTAAAGCCAGTTTTTCACTTCAACCGTATCGTAACGTACCGCAGCATTTTCTTTTGTGTCGAAGTCATTAGTTCCACTCTAGTGCTCAGGAAACAAAATCTACTACGCTTCGGTATGATAAGGTTCAAGTGGAAAACTGGCTGTCAAACATAAATAAAGTCCAGCATATGCAACCTCGTTCCCAGGCTCTTTGCTCTTGTGAAGGAAGAGCAAAGAGCCTGGGAACGAGGTTGCAGCATATGTACATTTCGGAGAACGAATGGTGCGATAAACTTCAATCTCGGCACTAGACAATCTCGAGTAGCGAAATACTTTTGGATGTTTTACAACGAGTAAATTAGTTGAAAGTCCAGTATTTATATATAAGATGACAAGAATTTCCTGCGAAAATATTTTGTTAAAAATTTCCTGGCACTGCTGGTTCTGCTGGAAATTTTCCAACACTGCTAACCAACATGTAACAATCTTGTCAGTCAAACCAAAAGGGTATAATTTCGACATTAATATACGTCTGTCACTAAAGAAACGTACCATTCCGTCTGTGAGCCGTTCTCTCCTCTATTTTGAACAGCCTGGATAGAAAGTATGAATTAAAACATGAAATTTACAACTTGACAAAACTACTTCAACTACTTTGATAACCTTGCCCAACGGATAACCTCCCTGTTTACAAACTTATTTTAATAAAGGATATTTCAGGCCAACAGAACTGGCTCGTGTAGATGTCGAGCATTTCATTCTTCACAATTTTTGTTAGTTACGATATTAAAACAGTACATTTTTCCTTCTGCAAATTTCACACTACTTGCTTGTGCACGCGCAGACTAAATGAGAACATCGGCGTAGGCTAAAGCCGGTTTTCCACTTCGCCCGTATCGTACCGAAACGTACTGGTGAGCATGCGCAGATTGAAAAGAGGTCTATAAATCCACGTACTTCCGGGTGTATTTACGTATCAAAATAAAAAGTTCGTCGCAAGTCAACTTTTTGGCGTACTACGGAAGTACTAACCAATCAACTTTCACGAAATTTTGAAATTTAAAAACGATTTTGATAAGTTTCGGTACGGTACGCTTGAAGTGGAAAACCGGCTTAAGATCTGTGTACATATGAATACAAACAATGAACTATTTCTGAACTATATATATAAAACTGTACTATACATAGAGAATATTACACATTATTGTTACAAAATATTGTTTTTAACACGAGAAGATAAAAGTCATATCTTCACGCCACCGTGTAATGTTCTGTTTATTATATAGTCCAAAGCAAAAAATTGTGAAATTTCACGCTCAAAAGCAAATTGGAAAGAGTCACGTGATCGATATCTTCACTTGTGAAGATATGGAAAATATCTTTGTGTATTTTTCCGCAGTATCTCAATTTCTACTATATAATAAATACCTGAATTCCAATATCCAGTTCAAACTTCTTCAGACTATAAGTTTCATCTTCAAACGGGAGGCATTCCACTGTAGCATCTTTCATTACCTTTTCACTTTGATCAGCAAATTTTACAGGGGCGCCAAACTCACTTCGTTTTCGAGAAATGCACATTTTTATCTACAATCATAAATTTCGTTTATAAAGGCTGCACATACTTTCACTGGTGCTGCACAGTAATTTGTTTAAAACCGTCACTTTATTCGAAAAGCGTTACCAAAAGTTAGAATTGAACGACATCTGTCCAATTTCTCTTACACATCAGTTTAAAATAAAAAATGCAGTGCATGCACGTTTACGAAATCGAACGTATTCGTGTGAATAAATGTAAATTTTTCACTCATCATTTTTGTCACGTGTTTATCACGTGTGCATGGGTGTGCAGCACTAAAGGTTCCAAAACACCGTGTGCACGTAAAGCTTGGTATATCAAAGTGACCGATGTAATGGAGTGCTGATAGCCTTCTACAGTCAGTAAAGATTGGTTTGCATACAGTACACAAAAGACAAGATAGACTACGGACTATTTTCTTACACCTTCATAATTAAAGAAAACAGGACTTTTCAAGGACTTTTTTCTTCGTATTCCAGCAGTTTTCCATGGGCATTTGAAATATAACAAAAGTATGTTCGTTCACTGCAACCAGGTATATCAATCCTGTTTCGCTCGTTACTCTGGTTTAAATAAATGATTATACAAAGCCCAGTCGAATTGTAATCAAGACCCAACGTTTCGACACTCCAGTCTAGTGTCTTCATCAGGGGTGATCTAAAGTTACAATCGTGGCTTCTTAAATACCCAAAGGATGACGTCACCTGCCCTATTCAAAGCATGATTACTCATATTTATATGCCACGCTTCTAGGCATAGTCTTTGATCATAGCGATTGTTTGTGGCAATTACTTTAGAGTTTTCCCATGCAATCTCGTCTTTGGTGTAACACACATGTTCTGCTAAAGCTGATTTTCCCTTGTCTAAAGTTGAAACAGCCTTTTGATGTTCTTTTAGCCGTGTGCCAAACTGGCGTTTAGACTGACCCCAATACTCTTTCTCGCAGTCACCGCATGGTATAGAATATACAACATGGAATACATGCATCTCATTGGCAGGTGACGTCATCCCTTGGGTATTTAAGAAGCCACGATTGCAATTTTAGATCGCCCCCTGATGAAGACACTAGACTGGAGTGTCGAAACGTTGAGTCTTGATTACAATTCGACTGGGCTTTGTAATAATTTATTTAAACCAGAGTAGCGAGCGAAACATGATAACAAAAGTAATTTTTCCACTAAGTCGGAAAGTTTTTTTACTCTATAAACATCGCTATCAAGAATATCTTATCGAAAAATACGATATGCTTTGCGAAAAAAGTCTTGTAATCAATTATAACAGAACGTTGAATCCTCTGACTAACTTGGTTCCTTCGCCCATTACATGTTACCTTGGCACGGTTTTCTACAGTTTTTTCATCCTCGACTTCTATCTCACTCCCCAGAGATTCCCAAGGTCTAGGTGTCACAGGTCCTTTCCATACAACAATCTCTTCTTCTGCTGCTTCAGCTTGCTCTCCATCTGCGGTCTCGTGGTCACCTGCAGCCAATTCGGGCTGAAACAATAAAACTCAAACCCATTAGACGATGGATTGAAATATATTTAACAATTATTCACTGAAGTGGAGGTGAATAGCTTTATACAGGGTGTCTAAAAAAAACGCTATGGAAATTCAACAGGCTGTCGTGCATCATAAACGTGGCTAAACAATTAAATTTTTACATACGATGAAAGAACAGTTATTTAGCTTTTCAATGATACTCTTTTTAAATCGTAACGATGCGAAATGGCCACATACTCGTCAAATAAAAATGGCCCGTCGAAATCACATTCTTCCACCGTTGGGAATTGCATGGAAAACGAAACATAGACAATTCCCAAGAGGGAATTAAAATTGAATGTTAAATTATCTAAAATGAGCTCAACTCGTCAATCTTCGTCTTAGTGAGACAATAACTCAATAAGAACGTCCATTAAACATGGTTCAATTAACCCCTGAACAGAGAACATAATTTCGTAATCAAAACGTTTTACGAAACAAATAGCTTGCAGCAGACTCGCGTTGCTTTTGGATTGACTAACTTTGCATAATTAATGTTTTTCAATTCCCAACGGTGGAAGAATGTGATTTCGACCGGCAATTTTTATTTGACGAGTATGTGGCCATTTCTCATCGTTACGATTTAAAAAAGGTATCATAGAAAAGCAAAATAACAGTTTTTTCGTCCTATGTAAAAATTGAATTGTTTAGCTAAGTTTATGATGCACAACAGCCTGTTGAATTTCCATAGCGTTTTTTTTTAGACACCCTGTAGAATACCCCTACACACTGTTAAATGTGTGGCTGTCTTCGTGTTTGGTGAAACTGCAGTTTCGTTTAGTACAAAAATTTGCTCCTCTGTAACGGGAAGCTATTTTGTTTTTTCTCCGGAGGTGAATAGTGCAAGGATATCCGGAGCTGAACAACCAATCAAATTGCAAAGAACTATTTCGCTTACAATTCAAAAGAAATTGAGGGAAAAAATCGAAATTTTTCTTCCAAGAGGAAATCCAGCTGAATTGAATGGACCATTTGCATTATAGACTAAATTTTGATCTAAACAAGTCTAGACAAAAATTTCATCACAGCTTGAAAGAGCATCACAATAATATAGCCGTTTACAGGCATTTTGTATTACAAACGGGAAATTGATGCCCCAACACCCGATTGGACTGTCAATTTCCCGTGCGTAATACAAAATGACTGAAAAACGACAAACTTCGCAGGGCTATATTATCCGCATTTTACAACATTTCGCAACGAAACTTTGGAATATTACTAATTTTGTGATGCTCTTTCAAGTTGTGATGGAATTTTTGTCTAGATCAAAATTTAGTCTATAATGCAAATGGTCCATTGATACATCACTAATTTAATTGATATGTCAGTAATTTCATTTTGACATAATTAATTATATTGCTACGTCACTAATTTAATTGATATGTCAGTAATTTCATTTGGACATCATTAATTCTACTGCTACGTCACTAATTTAACTGTTTCGTCACTAATTTAATTGTTACACCTGGTAATTTCATGTTACATAATGAAGGTGGCTCCCTACAGTTCCCTCTAAAATTTGACGTATTTTAAATAGGTAAGGTATGGCAATATGATCATTTCGAGGTAAGTTAAGAAGCTTTGTGCTATCTATATTATATCTTATTGGATTCTTCTGAGCCCAATATGGCAAAATATTAAGTCGAGACTTCAATATTGGGCGAGACCGAAGGTCCAGCCTAATATTGAAGTCGAGAAAAGACAAAAATTTCTATAACGAGACTAATAGTAATACAGCGACAACATTACTACATATATCGGCGGCGAATTTGCTTAAATAACTAAAAAAAAGTTAATAAACCTGTTTTTACAAATATGTGTGCATAAATAAACTTAATTTCATGTATGTTTAAAGGAAATGTGACCTAATTTTAACGAAAAAAATAATATTACTAACTTCTAGGCTGTTGCAAACAAATAAATTTCGCGAAGACAAGTTTTACCGCGCTTTTATAATTTTAAACAAAACTGGTAGAAAAAACTGTATTGATGTCCCAAATTCTTTTCATTATTCTGCCATATCGTTTGTCGTATGTTTGAAATTGACAAAACATCTGAAAAGGGTTGAAAAACCATGAAAAAAGCCACAATTCGTAACTGTCCAATAGGTTCCTGTCCAATATCGTAAAATATTGGATCGGCACGTGACCCTCTCAACGATTACTGATTGGTTAAGTGCGCGTGAGTGTATAATAAATAAACAAATAGGAACAGTGTTAGTGCAGTGAGCTAATATATATACCTGGAGCAAGAAGAATGGGTATTACAGGCATGTAAGAAAAGTGAAGTCAAGATGGCGGAATTGACGCCCAGTATCTAAGGTTGCAAATAGTGTTAATATCATTTTTCCAGTTAATTCCAGTTTTTCCTAATGGACCGTATCGCTAATCAAGTTAACCATTCATAAAACTATAGTATTATTCTTTAAATTGAAGTCAAAATACGAAATTTCGGCACACTCCTTGCAGACAAAAACAATAGAAAGGGACTGAAACTGACGCCCAATCATTGAACTATAAATAAACTGGAAGGCTTTCGATATCTCGGAAAATATTGCTCCAATCGCCCTCTAACCCAGCGCGTTGTGCCCAGCAGGTCACTCTGAGGCAAGGCGTGCGTTTTTATTCAATTTGCAAGATAGAGCGTTTTAAACAATTTTTGATATCTCGGAATATATAAAAAACTGCTATAAATTAAATTCGATGGTATAACTAGTATTTCGGGGCAAGATTTTTCTGATAAAAAGTGCATATTTGTAAAAAAAATTTAAAAAAGGACTGGGTTTACCTACAATGAAAGCATCAAAATACATCAAACAGATATTTTTCATTTATATTTGAGATGAAAATAAAAGATTTTTTTTTCTGTGTTGGTGTTATGTACTCAGGTGAATATGATGCTTGGGATGTTACTCTGAGTGTATATCCACACCGGGCAAGCTTGAAAAATATGCCTGGCCACGGTGTAAAAGGTCGTAGGTTCGATTCCCATCGTGGCCAGGCATATTGTTCAAGCTTGCCCGGTGTGGATATGCACTCAGAGTGCAACATCACAAGCATAAAAGATAATGTTTAAAATACAAAAAAATGAAAACACTAGTGCATGAATAAATCCAGCATTTTTTTGAATTTGGTTTGGTTGTTACTATAAAAATCGGTGTTTTAAAACATTAATTTAACTGAATACAATTTGACTTTTCGTATAGAAAAGCTCGTAGCTGCATCTGCACTATAGTTTTATTAGATTTAGCAGACAAAACACTACATGTGAACTGAGTTGAATGACAGAACTTACATAACTTTCAGTGACAGTTCAACAGTACCTAGCTATAAAGTATAATTTTTTCGCAACACTGTTGTTGAATATTTTGAACATTATAAAAGGCAATCCTGAATGTAAATACGTAAAAACACCGACACTAAAAGATAGGTTAAAAACTGGTTAACAACCAATTTTCTTCGAAAATCAAAAGCAACTTCCCGCGGCTTGTTTCAAATTTGTTACTGGGCCACAAATATTCCACGCGCGGCGTGGGTAGCGAAGATAACGTCTGATCTGTACATATAAGCCATGTTGTAAACTCTACTGAAGGGGGCCATCTCAATTTGTATTGTCAGGTCACCAATTACATTTTTGCGTCACTTCACATTTGTTCACCACAATAATTACTCGATTCTGCATGATTGGCTGCGAGGTGTTCAATTTTATCGAAATACAGTCGGTGCCACAAAATGAAATCCCCAAAAAAGAAATACGTGACAAGCGCCAAAACAAAAGACATTTTGACTTTTGATTTAAAATTCGACTTCAGACACCTACAAACTTGTATTAAGTTGTTGTGCCGTTCAAATAAGTGAGTAAATTATTAATTTCGTAATATGTGTTTCATGCATGCAAATAACAATGAATTTGCTTCTGTGTACTTTTGTCATGTATATTATTAATAATATTGCATGGAAAACTCGTGAGTCTTTCAAAGACTTCAAAGTCACCAATTACATTTTTCTTCATTAATTCGATTGTTACGTAACTAACTCAAAATTTTGTTATTTCACAAATTTAATTGTTACGTCAGTAGCCACTCCATTTTACATAATAATAATTCTATTCTTATATACTTATTATTAGCATGACAAAATTACTGGATGCTGATTGGTTGAGAGGAGTACAATTATTTCATTAATTGTACTGCAGTACAATTAATGATTTTCCCAAAACAAACAAAATGGAGGAAACGTATTTTAAACTCAAGCGTGAAATGAAATTGCCGTGGAGGAACTAGATGAAAATACGAACAAAATCACCAAATTTTGCTTTAACAAAAGAACTAAATGAAAATACAAACAAAAGCACCAAATTTTGGTTGAAAGTCTGGCGGGACTGGGCTTTGGCGAGAGAATATGATGCTGACATTGAGAAGTACGTATCCAATTTTGTCATGCTAATAATAAAAATTTGGCAAAATTTCCAAACATCACTCGTACTATTAATCCCTAATTGTACTCGCCATCGCATGATTACCTATACTAATTTAATTCTTACGTCAGTAATTTCATTTTGACATTATTAATTTCATTGTTACGTCATTAATTCAGTAATTCCGCACTTACATCACCAATTTCATCGTTATTTCACTAATTCCATTCGAAATGTTATTAATGAATTGTTACGTCACTATAATATCATTTTTACGCGAATAATTTCTTGTCACCTCAGCACCGCACTAATTTAATTTCTAATTAATTAAACTAGTGACCTACAATTAAAACTAATAAGGACAAAATGCAATTAGTGACATAATAATTCAATTAGTGACGCACAATCAAATCAGTGACGCGACAATTAAATAAATTACGTGAAAAAACCGAAACCATCAACGTACCAATTAGAGATTTAACGCAAGATTTAAATTGTAACATAATCATTAAAATAGTAACGTCACAATTAAACTAGTGACGTTACAATTAAATTAGGAAAGTGGCAATCGAACTAATAAGGACAAAATATACTCACTCACGTAACAATTAAATTTGTGACATAACAACAGAACTAACGATGTAAGAAATAAATTAGCTAGCGTCATAAATAAATAAGTGATGTAACAAGAAATTAAAGACATAAATAAAATTAGGGACATAATTAAATTAGTGAGATAACAATAAAATTAGTAAAATGGCAATAGAACTAATTATGTCAAAATGAAATTACTGACGTAACAATTAAATGAGTGACAATAGGATTAATGATGTACAAAAATGAAATTACTGACATAATTGAATTAGCAATGCAACAATTAAATTAGTGACGCAACAATAGAATTAATGAGGTCACAATGAAATTACTGACGTAACAATTAAATTCGAAACAATAGAATTAATCGTGTACAAAAATGAAATTACTGACATAATTGAATTAGTGATGTAACAATTAAATAAGTGACGTAACAATAGAATTAATGATGTCAAAATGAAATTACTGACGTAACAATTAAATGAGTGACAATAGGATTAATGATGTACAAAAATGAAATTACTGACATAATTGAATTAGCAATGCGATAATTAAATTAGTGACGCAACAATAGAATTAATGAGGTCACAATGAAATTACTGACGTAACAATTCAATCAGTGACAATAGGATTAATGATGTACAAAAATGAAATTACTGAAAAAATTGAATTAGCAATGCAACAATTAAATTAGTGAGGTAACAATAGAATTAATGATGTCACAATGAAATTACTGACGTAACAATTAAATCAGTGACAATAGAATTAATGATGTACAAAAATGAAATTACTGACATAATTGAATTAGTGATGTAACAATTAAATTAGTGACGTAACAATAGAATTAATGATGTCACAATGAAATTACTGACGTAACAATTAAATGAGTGACAATAGGATTAATGATGTACAAAAATGAAATTACTGACATAATTGAATTAGCAATGCAACAATTAAATTAATGACGTAACAATAGAATTAGTGATGTCACAATGAAATTACTGACGTAACAATTAAATGAGCGACAATAGGATTAATGATGTACAAAAATGAAATTACTGACATAATTGATTTAGTGATGTAACAATTAAATTAGTGACGTGATTACAGAACTAACGGTGTCAAAATGAAATTACTGACGTAACAATTAAATGAGTGACAATAGGATTAATGATGTACAAAAATGAAATTACTGACATAATTGAATTAGCAATGCAACAATTAAATTAATGACGTAACAATAGAATTAGTGATGTCACAATGAAATTACTGACGTAACAATTAAATGAGTGACAATAGGATTAATGATGTACAAAAATGAAATTACTGACATAATTGAATTAGTGATGTAACAATTAAATTAGTGACGTAACAATAGAATTAATGATGTCACAATGAAATTACTGACGTAACAATTCAATCAGTGACAATAGGATTAATGATGTACAAAAATGAAATTATGAAATTACTGACATAATTGAATTAGATGCAATAATTAAATTAGTGACGCAACAATACAATTAATGAGGTCACAATGAAATTACTGACGTAACAATTAAATGAGTGACAATAGGATTAATGATGTACAAAAATGAAATTACTGACATAATTGAATTAGCAATGCGATAATTAAATTAGTGACGCAACAATAGAATTAATGAGGTCACAATGAAATTACTGACGTAACAATTAAATTCGAAACAATAGAATTAATCGTGTACAAAAATGAAATTACTGACATAATTGAATTAGTGATGTAACAATTAAATAAGTGACTTAACAATAGAATTAATGAGGTCACAATGAAATTACTGACGTAACAATTAAATGAGTGACAATAGGATTAATGATGTACAAAAATGAAATTACTGACATAATTGAATTAGCAATGCGATAATTAAATTAGTGACGCAACAATAGAATTAATGAGGTCACAATGAAATTACTGACGTAACAATTAAATTCGAAACAATAGAATTAATCGTGTACAAAAATGAAATTACTGACATAATTGAATTAGTGATGTAACAATTAAATAAGTGACTTAACAATAGAATTAATGATGTCAAAATGAAATTACTGACGTAACAATTAAATGAGTGACAATAGGATTAATGATGTACAAAAATGAAATTACTGACATAATTGAATTAGAAATGCGATAATTAAATTAGTGACGCAACAATAGAATTAATGAGGTCACAATGAAATTACTGACGTAACAATTAAATCCGAGACAATAGAATTAATCGTGTACAAAAATGAAATTACTGACATAATTGAATTAGCAATGCAATAATTAAATTAGTGACGCAACAATAGAATTAATGAGGTCACAATGAAATTACTGACGTAACAATTAAATGAGTGACAATAGGATTAATGATGTACAAAAATGAAATTACTGACATAATTGAATTAGCAATGCGATAATTAAATTAGTGACGCAACAATAGAATTAATGAGGTCACAATGAAATTACTGACGTAACAATTAAATTCGAAACAATAGAATTAATCGTGTACAAAAATGAAATTACTGACATAATTGAATTAGTGATGTAACAATTAAATAAGTGACGTAACAATAGAATTAATGATGTCAAAATGAAATTACTGACGTAACAATTAAATGAGTGACAATAGGATTAATGATGTACAAAAATGAAATTACTGACATAATTGAATTAGCAATGCGATAATTAAATTAGTGACGCAACAATAGAATTAATGAGGGCACAATGAAATTACTGACGTAACAATTAAATCAGTGACAATAGAATTAATGGTGTACAAAATTGAAATTACTCACATAATTGAATTAGTGATGTAACAATTAAATTAGTGACGTAACAATAGAATTAATGATGTCAAAATGAAATTACTGACGTAACAATTAAATCCGAGACAATAGAATTAATGGTGTACAAAAATGAAATTATTGACATAATTGAATTAGTGATGTAACAATTAACTTAGTGACGTAACAATAGAATTAATGATGTCACAATGAAATTACTGACGTAACAATTAAATCAGTGACAATAGAATTAATGATGTACAAAAATGAAATTACTGACATAATTGAATTAGTGATGTAACAATTTAATTAGTGACGTAACAATAGAATTAATTATGTCAAAATGAAATTACTGACGTAACAATTAAATGAGTGACAATAGAATTAATGATGTACAAAAATGAAATTACTGACATAATTGAATTAGTGATGTAACAATTAAATTAGTGACGTAATAACAGAACTAATGATGTCAAAATGAAATTACTGACGTAACAATTAAATGAGTGACAATAGGATTAATGATGTACAAAAATGAAATTACTGACATAATTGGATTAGTGATGTAACAATTAAATTAGTGACGTAATAACAGAACTAATGATGTCACAATGAAATTAGTGACGTAACAATAAAATCAGTGACAATAGGATTAATGATGTACAAAAATGAAATTACTGACATAATTGAATTAGTGATGTAACAATTAAATTAGTGACGTAATAACAGAACTAATGATGTCAAAATGAAATTAGTGACGTAACAATAAAATCAGTGACAATAGAATTAATGGTGTACAAAAATGAAATTACTGGCATAACTGAATTAGTGATGTAACAATTTAATTAGTGACGTAACAATAGAATTAATTATGTCAAAATGAAATTACAGACGTAACAATTCAATCAGTGACAATAGGATTAATGATGTACAAAATTGAAATTACTCACATAATTGAATTAGCAATGCGATAATTAAATTAGTGACGCAACAATAGAATTAATGAGGTCACAATGAAATTACTGACGTAACAATTAAATGAGTGACAATAGGATTAATGATGTACAAAAATGAAATTACAGACATAATTGAATTAGTGATGTAACAATTAAATTAGTGACGTAACAATAGAATTATTTATGTCAAAATGAAATTACTGACGTAACAATTAAATGAGTGACAATAGGATTAATGATGTACAAAAATGAAATTACTGACATAATTTAATTAGCAATGCGATAATTAAATTAGTGACGCAACAATAGAATTAATGAGGTCAAAATGAAATTACTGACGTAACAATTAAATCCGAGACAATAGAATTAATCGTGTACAAAAATGAAATTACTGACATAATTGAATTAGTGATGTAACAATTAAATTAGTGACGTAACAATAGAATTAATGATGTCAAAATGAAATTACTGACGTAACAATTCAATCAGTGACAATAGAATTAATGATGTACAAAAATGAAATTACTGACATAATTGAATTAGCGATGCAACAATTAAATTAGTGACGTAACAATAGAATTAATGATGTCAAAATGAAATTACTGACGTAACAATTAAATTAGTAGCGTAACAATAGAATTAATAATGTAAAAACTGAAATTACTAAAGCAAAACTCAAATCAGTGACGTAACAGCAGAATTAATGATATGCAAATGAAATTACGTAACAATTAAAGTTTTGACGTAACAATTAAATTAGTTAGATAACAATAGAATTAGTAATGCAAAGTAAAATTAGTAACGCAAGATTTAAATTGTAGCATATTAATAATTAAAATAGCGACGTCACAATTAAACAGGTGAGGTAAGAATTAAATTAGTGACAATAAAATTAATGATGTCAAAATGAAATTACTGACGTGAGTATCGGAGAACTAAATCTGCGTGACAATAAAATTAGTGACGTAATAATTATAAATTAGGTTAGTTGAAATTATTGGCACAATTAAATTGGTGACGTAACAATAAAATTAGTGACGTAAAAATTAAATTAGTGACGTAGCAATATAATTAATGATGTCAAAATGAAATTACTGACGTAACAATTAAATTAGTGAAAATAGAATTTCAAATGATGTAAAAAAATGAAATTACTGATATGAATATCGGAGAACTAAATCTGCGATGTAACAATAAAATTTAATTAAACTAATGACGTAAAATAAAATAACTGACATAATTAAATTAGTGAAGTAACAATAGAATTAATGTGTAGAGTAAATTATTGATGTAACAATTAAATCTGGGACGTAACAATATAATCAATGATGTTTTTACATACAATTTGTCGGGTAACAATTAAATCAGTGACGTAGCAATCGGATTAATGATGACAAGAAAAATTAAATAGTGAGATAATTAACTTCGTGACGTAACAATTAAATTTGTTACGCAACAATTAAATTTGTGATGTAACATTTAAATTTGTTACGTACAATAGAATTAATGGTGCAAAATGAAATTAGTGATGCAAGATTGGTGCCTAATCTACCTTTTTATCAATCTGTTACGTTCCTTGCTAATATCTGTGTTACTGAAGACGAAATTTTAATTTTAATGCGCAGTGTTGATATTTCGAAGGCGAGTGGATCTGATGGCATTGGTAATAAAATGATTAAATTTTGTTCCGAGAGCCTTTATTTGTTTTTTACCAAATTTGTTAGTTTCTCTTTTGCCCTGGGGCAATACCCGACTGCGTGGAAAATGGCTAATGTTGTTCCTATATTTAAAAAGGGTAACTCCCAATTGAAAGTAAATTATCGACCTGTATCACTTCTACCATGTCTCTCAAAAATATGTGAAAAAGTTGTTTTTGTTAGACTTTATAATTTCTTATTGGAAATAGGTTATTTATACAAATTACAATCCGGTTTTCGACCAGGTGATTCAACAGTCAACCTACTGCTGTATTTTGTTCATCAGATTTACTGCGCATTCGAAGCTGGCAAAGAAGTGAGGATTGTGTTCTTGGATATTAGTAAGGCCTTCGACAAAGTCTGGCATGCCGGATTATTGAAAAAGTTAGAAGCACTAGGAATTCGTAATCCTCTTTTTCAATGGTTTAAAAGTTATTTGCAAGATAGAACTCAACGTGTAGTTATAGAAGGGCAGTCGTCAGATTGGAGAAGCGTGAATTCTGGTGTTCCACAGGGATCAGTTTTGGGACCTCTTTTATTTTTAATTTACATTAACGATATAACTGATGACCTAGAATCCTGTCCTTTTATTTTTGCCGACGATACTGCCCTTTTCGAAGTTGTCGATAATCCGGCTAGCTCCGCGGAACTATTAAATAATGATTTAAATAAGATTTCAGAATGGCCAGATAGGTGGTTGGTGACAATGAACCCCTCAAAAACTAAATCTATAACATTTTCCAACAAAAAAAGAGAAAGAAAATCATCCGGTACATTCAATGAGAGGCTGTCCTATTGATGAAGTCGTCTCGCACATTCATCTGGGTTTGACTTTTCAAAGTAATATGTCTTGGAATAATCATATTTTATCAGTTTATGAAAAGGCATCTCAACGATTAAATATGTTGAAACCATTGAAGTTCAAAATTGATAAATCAACTCTCGCTTGTTTATACAAAAGTTTTATTCGGCCAATAATGGAGTATGGCGATATTATTTGGGATAATTGTAATGCCGGGAATAGTGAGTTACTTGAAAGTGTTTAGTATCAGTCAGCTAGAGTTGTTACTGGGGCCATTAAAGGTACTACTAGTTCGAATAGTCTTCGTCAAGAACTGGCCTGGGAGGAGTTGAGCATTAGTATAGGTAATCATGCGATGGCGAGTACAATTAGGGATTAATAGTACGAGTGATGTTTGGAAATTTTGCCAAAATTGGACGAGCCGCCGGGGCGAGTCCAATTTGGCAAATTTCCAAACATCACGAGTACTATTAATCCCTAATTGTACGAGCAACATCGCATGATTACTTGTTTATTATTAGCATGGCAAAATTGGATACGTACTTCTCAATGTCAACATCATATTCTCTCGCCAAAGCCCAGTCCTGCCAGACTTTCAACCAAAATTTGGTGCTTTTGTTCGTATTTTCATCTAGTTCCTTCACGGCAATTTCATTTCACATCCGTGTGTTTAAAATACCTTCCGCCATTTTGTTTGTTTTGGGAAAATCATTAATTGTACTGCAGTACAATTAATGAAATAATTGTACTCCTCTCAACCAATCAGCATCTAGTAATTTTGTCATGCTAATAATAAGAAAAATTCATAAATTATCTTATTTTTATAAGATAGTTTATAATTATTCTCCTCTATATTTAATTGAGCTTTTACCAAAATTGGTTAATGAAAGGTCTTATATTCCGTTAAGGTCTGGTCATAATATTAGTCAATATAAGTGTAGAACTAAAAAATTTAAGAAATCATTCTTTCCTTCCACGATTTCGTTGTGGAATACTCTTGAAATTGACATTAGAAATTCAAGTTCTCTTTCAAACTTTAAGTTGAAAATAAATAAGATTCATCATCCGCTTTGTTATAATAAATGGTTAAATTTTTCTCTTACGAGGAAGGCATCTGTTTTACATACAAGACTAAGATTAGGTTTTTGTGCGCTTAATGACTATTTGTATATAATTAATTGTTGTAATTCTCCTTTATATATATGTTGCCATCAAAATGAAACAGTCAAACATTATCTTTTATTATGTCCTCGTTTTGCTGCTCAACGTAATGAACTTCTTACCTCTGCTGCACTAGTTTGTGGAAAAGCATGGCTAACGAGCAACGACAGGGAAAAACTTGAATTTTTATTGAACGGTTCTGTTCAATTAAGTTTTGATGAAAATTGTTTATTGTTCGGTGCTGTCCAACGTTTTATTTTGGATACTTGTCGTTTCTCCTAGCAATGCTTTGTGCGTTTATGTATCTTGTCTTTTCTGTAACACTGTCTTATTTTGTTTGTTTATTTGTGGGTTATTTGGTGTAAATAAGTTTATATATCCTTTTTTTATACATGTGAGCCCCCTTGATAAGCATGGCTTTTGGGGCAAACATTTAAATAAAGTTTATATAAAAAAAATATTTAAATTGTAAAATAATAAATGAATTAGCGACGTCACAATTAAACTAGTGACGTAACAATTAAATTAGGGACGTAGCAATAGAACTAACGATGTAAAATAGAAATTAGTCACATAAATAAATTAGTGAAGTAGCAATTAAAAACCGATATAATAATTAAATTAGTGACGTAGCAATAGAATTAAAGTAATGATGTCAAAATGATATTATTGACATAACAATTGAAATTAGTGACAATAGAATTAATGAAGTAAAAAAATGAAATTACCAACGTGACTGTCGAAGAATTAAATATGTGATAATTCAATTAGAGACGTAACAATAAAATTAGTGACGTAGCAATATAATTAATGTCAAAATGAAATTACTGACCTATAACAATTAAATTAGTGACAATAGAATTAATGATGGAAAAAATTGTGAGGTGATAATTAAATTTGTGAGGTGATAATTAAAAATTCGTTTACAGCATTAAATATATTAGTAAAGTGGATTTAATGGTGTAAAATTAAATTATTGAGGTAAAAATTAAATGACATAAAAACGTAAAAATGACTTTAGTGACATAATAATTATATTTGTGACGTCACAATTAAACTGGTAATGTAGCAATCGAATTACTCTTATTATTAGTGACGTAACAATTAAATTAGTGACGTAACAATAGAATTAATGCGTAAAAAATAAATTACTGCAGTAACAATTAAATTTTTGATGTAACAATAGAATTAACTACGTAAAATGAAATTACTGACATAACAATTAAATCAGTGACCGTAACAACAGAATGTAAGGATGTAGCATGAGATTAGTGACGTAACAATTGAATTTGTTATGCAACAATCAAATTAGTGAGGTAGCAATTAAATTACTGACGTAGCAATCGATATATAATGGAATATCAAATTAGTGAGATGATAATTAACTTTATGACCTAACAATTAAATTTGTCACGCAACAATAAAATATGTGATGTAACAATTAAATTAGTTAGGTAACAATTGAATTAAGGTTACAGGATACCCTAGACATGCCTTTCGAGTGATCCGCTGTAACTCGATCAATTTTAATCCAAATTCCATCAAATTTTCACCAAATGTAGTTAGATAAATGTAGTGTAAGATGTTCTTATCACATATACGAAAGAATAAATACTTATTTATATAAATACTTTCTGTGTATAATGCTATTGTTCGCCCATACTTCGATTACTGCTGTGAAGTATGGGATGTGTTTGGTGAGACACAATCAAAAAGACTCCAAAAACTCCAAAATAGAGCTGCTCGAATCATTATGAATATGAGCAATGACACAGATCATTCTGTTGCTCTGCAAGCATTGGGTTGGAAGACACTTAAAAAGAAAGAAAGAAAGGGAAAGCAAAAATAATGTACAAATTATTAAATAAAATGGGTCCCAAGTCACTCTCTAATCTTTTCACATATAAAGGTGAGAAAACAAAGTATCACCTCCGAGATATTTCAAGTGGTCTTTGTCTACCACAACCGCGTACTAATAATATGAAAAAAAGTTTCATGTATGACGGAGCACACCTATGGAATTCAATTCCAAAAGAAATTAGAGAGAGCAAATCCCTTTCTGCCTTTCGGAAAAAAATCGTTACTCACATTGACTGATTGATTAATGATTTGTAAATATATCTAAATTACTTTAACTTATTTAATACTATATATCTTATATAATTTTGTAAATAACTTTTTAGTGTATCTGTATAGTTTGCACACGCCCCCCGTGGAAATCAGCTTCGGTTGACGGGGTCAGCGTGTTTAAATAAAGTTTTTCTATCTTTTTCTATCTTCTATTCAGATATTTGCCGAAGTCTAAAATCGCGGTACTTCCGCGCCGTGAAGTTTGTTAGACGCCGGTTTTACTCAAATCCTATAAAAATATCATTTTTACTCTTCTCAAAGGTTGTTCTAAAAAACGGTGTTCGCGTTTTGTAGTTGCTTTAGGGGTTCACGAGTTACGGCATATTCATTCCAGACCTATGCTATATTGCAACTAATTGACAACAAAAAGCTTGTAACTTGCTTATTATTTGAATAAAAAGCTCGCGCGCACACCGTTTTGTAGCCGAAATATGTACCTATGCTGTGTGGAATTTTGACAAAAATCGGTTAAAACGCACGCTTAACAAACTTTATTTAGTGCGTATATTCGTCTCAAAACTCAAGTGCCTCAAAAAGCGCTTTGAAAATTTCGCGGGTTTTCTTTCAGTGTAATCAGGTACTCCGCCTGCTGTGACGTACTGTCATTATAAAGTTAATCCGATGACAGATAACGTTTGCGGCAAGACCACAATATATAATCAAGTCATGCCTAAACGAAAAGAAAAAGCTGAGGCTTAAAATAAGACAAACCAACGCGCCACAAAAAAGCGCAGAATCTCAAAAGCGACAAAAATGCAGATGGTGGCGATGTGGACCACAAAGAAAAACTAATGGCAACGATGAAAGATAAAGCCTTAAAGGGTAAGGAAACTAGTTAGTTTATCGCATTTTGATCTGACGATATTTTGCTAGTTGACGTTATAGAAAGCCATGCATTTGTTCTCTCTCTTCAGTTACGATGGAACAAACTTTATCAAGAATTTTGAGGCTGGTGTTGAAGATTGGCTAAAGAAGCGTGGTAAACCTCCTAGAATTATACGGTATTTTTTATTGTGGATGGGCACACGCGTTATATACATAATTGCACCTGGTTCACTGGATTTTTGCACAATTTTCGTTTTTAGTACGCCGCGCATCGTAATGTTTTTGGAAATAAAAGGCTTTACTGTAAAATGTCATTACATTTTCGTTCATTTATAGAAACAGGGAATCGGTCCCAAGGATGCGGCTTATGGATATCCTGTCGAAGTACTAAATTTCCTGAGCGATATCGCGGTGATGTAAACTGAGGAGAGATAAGAGAAGTGAGTTTGATATTCTGTACGCAAAGCCAAAGGTCACTATAAAAGCCACGCAGGGAACGAAAGGGCTAATTCTAATAAAGCTTTTCCAGTTTTCCAGTTAGTCATGCACTTGTGGCTAAATTAGTAAATATGGCAAAAATGATAAGTCGCCAAATCAATGTTTTTATTCTGCTTCTAGGATGCTTACAATATTGAGCTGGACATCTTTTGTGAAGCTTTGAAGATCCCGAAGTTGTGTGTAGACTATTATAGTGTTAGTCAAATATGACTATAATAATTAAGTTTAAAAATATATGTTTTAAAAGGCATTGTTATATTATGATAAACATACTCATGTAAATATACTTATATATTATATTCTATAATTATGCTATAGTAAATATTAGGCAAACTGTTCTATATTATGGCCTTTATGGGCATTGATTCATCTCTACAGAATGGTTTTAAGGTCACTTTCTGCCAGTGATTTCTTTCTCTCCTCTGTGAACAAATTGTCGGGTTTGAGTTTCTTCCGACGGCCGCAAAAAGGGGTTTTATTGCTTTTGCCAGAATCAGCTCTTATTCGCGGCATTTTTTCAGCAAAGATTTCAGTGCAAGAGAAATGTGCGTCTGTACAACCGAATGTTGTGATAACGGAATACGAGATGACATATACACTAATTGAATTGCACAAGGTGTCGATTTTCTGTCAAACACATTTCCCGCCAAACATATAGACTTCAATTGCGTTTTACTAAATAACCTGTTTAATTTTAAAGATACTGATTTACATCTTTTTCCAGACGACAGGTATGCTCAAAAGCAACAAGAACATGTAAAGAAAAAAAAATTCAAAATTTTTACGTTCTAGGGTATCTTGTAACCTTAAGGATGTAAAATGAAATTAGTGACATAGTAATTAAGTTACTTACGTAACAATTAAATTAGTGAAGTAGAGCAATATAATTAATAATATCAAGAAATTTCTGTCGTAACCATTAAATTGCGGACAGATGAATTAAATTTGTGACGTGACAATTAAATTTGTGTCGCAACAATTAAATTAAATTAGTTACGTAAAAATACAATTAATACTTTCATTATTTCGTCACCAATTAAATTTTTACGTGCTTATTAATTTTAGTTATTTCGTCACTAATTTCTGTGTAACAAAACTATAAATGACATGATTATATCGTCACATTAATGTCATCATGTAATACAGGTATGAATTACTAAAATGTTTCATCTCCCATTTCTGCCTATAGTAACAATTTTTCCATCAGGCAATGACCTAAGTCATAAATTTTGTATAGCAACTACTCACATGTAAAATCTTTTCTTTACATTCTTCTGTGGTGCAGAGATAAAAGTTTTGTCCATATTTGAAATCTGCATCATACACAACTAATAATTCCTCACCAGGGTAGTCCTAAAAGATGGATAAAAATGCAAAATTGAAAAAGGTGGTCAATTAGAACCAGTTCATGCGTGCAGTATGTGAATAAAATATTTTCCTAACATAGAAATCAAGGAGTTTAAAGTACACTACGGTGCTCTCATTCATTTATAGTACTTCTACGTATCTGCATATAAGTTCTGTATACAACCAGATGGCCCCGCATTTTTCATGTACTGTACAGGTAGCGTATAATTATTCTCACTGGGGGCCGATATTGAAATTTCCATTCGGGTCAAACCAATGGACGTGCGTGCTTTCGCCGTTTTTGTTCTATCAGTGTTCAAAGGTGAGAAGGAAGGATTCGGTCTGAACCATAGATATCTTTAATATATACACTAGATAGCGCATCTCTTTTAGTAAAATTGAAAAAAATTGCCACACTTAAAAAACAACAACAACTTTCATCATTTGAATAGTTTGAAAATGTATTTGGGATAGGTTTAACTTAATGTTTAAGTTCCCTGTTTAAGAAATAGAAAACATACGAGTCTTCTCATTTGATGGGAATGTCCTGAGTCTACAATCACGGCTTCAAATTTTGTATTGCAGAATAATTAGATGCACTATGTAGTGTATATAAGATATCTATGGTCTGAACACGGTATGAATTAAATTGTGTGAACTGGATTTTGCGGATGATTTGTCATTGTTATGAAAGTGAATGAAGGAGAATTACAAAGATACACAAACCAACTAGGGCTCGAAGTAGATCGAGGAGAAAAAATATGGCCTGCCAGTCTAAAAAATTTTGCCAAGTGAAATAAATTTTAGCCTGCCATTTTTATTCATTGAACTGCCAAAATGGCGATGTCTCATATGAGTCGTATTGTAGAAATCAATGTTTTCATGATATGCATTTTTATTATTTTTAAACTTGTTTATTTTACTACAGAAAACTTGGATTTGCATTTCAAATATAAACGTATTTAGTCAACTAAATGATCTAGTATATATGAGTTGTGGTAAGCAAATGAAATGAAATATATGTATAGAATTTCCACTTGGCAGTTCAAATTTGTTTTTGCTTGCCATTTCCAAAATATGGCCTGCTTTTGGCCATTGGCAGCCCGCTATTTCGAGCCCTGGTGCCACAAACAAAACTAGACAAGACATGAGCAAATTTGGACTGCGTTTTAATAAAAAAAAATGTAGTGAAAGTGGGAATAGGCAGAAAAACAAATGAAGTAAAAAGTTTCAAGTATCTCAGAAACGCCACTAGCAACGGTTTACAGAGGAAACTAAACTACTGAAGTAGTAGTCGCAAGTACTACATCTGGCGCAATGTACAGGGTTGGGAGATACAAGATGTTGAATTTAAAAACCAAGATTAAAATTTATGAAACAACTGTGTTGCTTTATGCATGTGAAACGATAAAGCGACAGCAAAATACTGGATGATATATTTCCTACGTAAAGCAAATAACGAATCAACCTCGTACCCAGGGACTTTCCTCTTGGGGAGCAAAGACCCTGGTAGACGCTGGTCACGTGATCTGCTAAAATCTAGCAGATTTCTAATTAGCAATCCAAGATGAGGTTAATAAACATTTGATATTTGGATTATTTTGATAGTTTAATTTATAATTTGCATTTTGTATGATTGTCGTAAAGAAAACCAAGATAGTTAATTAGAAATCTGCTAGATTTTAGCAGATCACGTGACCAGCGTCTACCAGGGTCTTTGCTCCCAGACTAATCCCAAGTCCTCTGTGCACGCTTTTGATTTCCGTGACGTCACCGAGCGAAACGCTTCAAATTTGTTTTTGCTTGCCATTTCCAAAATATGGCCTGCTTTTGGCCATTGGCAGCCCGCTATTTCGAGCCCTGGTGCCACAAACAAAACTAGACAAGACATGAGCAAATTTGGACTGCGTTTTAATAAAAAAAAATGTAGTGAAAGTGGGAATAGGCAGAAAAACAAATGAAGTAAAAAGTTTCAAGTATCTCAGAAACGCCACTAGCAACGGTTTACAGAGAAAACTAAACTACTGAAGTAGTAGTCGCAAGTACTACATCTGGCGCAATGTACAGGGTTGGGAGATACAAGATGTTGAATTTAAAAACCAAGATTAAAATTTATGAAACAACTGTGTTGCTTTATGCATGTGAAACGATAAAGCGACAGCAAAATACTGGATGATATATTTCCTACGTAAAGCAAATAACGAATCAACCTCGTACCCAGGGACTTTCCTCTTGGGGAGCAAAGACCCTGGTAGACGCTGGTCACGTGATCTGCTAAAATCTAGCAGATTTCTAATTAGCAATCCAAGATGAGGTTAATAAACATTTGATATTTGGATTATTTTGATAGTTTAATTTATAATTTGCATTTTGTATGATTGTCGTAAAGAAAACCAAGATAGTTAATTAGAAATCTGCTAGATTTTAGCAGATCACGTGACCAGCGTCTACCAGGGTCTTTGCTCCCAGACTAGTCCCAAGTCCTCTGTGCACGCTTTTGATTTCCGTGACGTCACCGAGCGAAACGCGCGCGTCACCTCATTAATATGCGGAAACGCGAAATAGGCGTACTAAGAGGCCTAGGGACTAGGCTGCTTTGCTCCCCAAGAGGAAAGACCCGGGGTACGAGGTTGATAACGAATGAAGAGGCGTGGGGAAGAACATGCCAAGAACTGTTGATTGAAAAGTTGATTGAAAATATTGCGATTAAATCGATATATGTATATTAAAATATCGCCCAATCCTAATTATTGCTTTTTGCCAAAACAAAAATGTATAATTGTTATTGCATGCAATGATGAAAAGGGCTCTTGGCCACTGATCCGAGGAGTAAAGAGCATCAGGACAAGATCGATCGACCCAATCATACATGTCCAATACTGTCGAATCTACTCTATCGGTACGCATGGAGAGATTCGTAACTTGATATCTCCGACTTGGTCTCACAAGCGTCGTGATCATCGGTACGCATCAGCAGATGTTGCCGTAACTTGACATTTTGCAGGTTAATATCCTGCCACCTCACGCAAACATTTTGTCTAATACTTCTAATGGTACTATTCGTCCAATCGGTCCACCCGTCACCAGTCGTTCCATTCGTAAATTGCTTCGTTCTTTAAAAACATTGCGAGAACTTCGTAACTTCAACCATTATATAACCTTCAGAGCACAGCCTCTTCACCGATCTGACCATCCGTCACGGATGGACCGATTGGACGAATAGCACCGATGGACAGATTATCTGGGGGCTACCTTAGAGGTGCCTCTAGACCAATGGTGTTTCACCAATCTTACCATCCGTCACGGATGGACTGATCGGACGAATAGCACCGATGGACGGATTTTCTTGGGACTAGTATCTTACCCTAACTATCACCGGCTTTCACACAGGAATATTTTATCACAACCACACGGTTGCATTCACGAAATTCACGGATGGTACGCCCTCAATATCCGCCATTTTTACCTGGCATCTAATTCTCGTTAAAGTGCCCCTGTCACAAAATGAGAGTTTACATCATTAGAATCGTCTTGAAACGTAGATTATGAAAATACAAAACAGATTTAAAATTGAGCTTGTTTTCACAGAGTAATAAGGCAATGAATTTTGAAAATTTCAAATTTTAACGGCAAAAGTTTTTGAAAACCGCGAAGCTGGGAAATTGGTAACTAATACGTCATAGTAGGAAGACATTGCCTTCTCGCCTAAGTGAAAAGTATATAAATACTAAGTGAGAATCACAATCAAGCTGGTCAAAATTCGATACAAATGTCTTCGTGGAGTTCAGTTACGGAAAATAACAGTTACCAAAGCGATGACTGCCTGAAATTATATTCCTGGGCCGTATCAAATCGAGTGAAATCGATGAAAACACCAGTGAAGCGTGGTCAACGTCGTGCGCACAAATGATCGGCGCTGCTTGATCCATATGTTAATGAACCATGCAGTGACCGACGAAGATGGCTCAAACGTTACCGCGAAAAAAAGCAATCACAACGAACGTCTTAAGCAATTACAACAAAGGCTTGATAGTTCAGAAGAGTTGAGTAAATGGTAAATATTTCACTCTGATTTTGTTGCGTGACTTGACCTTGTGTTGTAAATTACAAACTATAATATTTCATGTGTAAACATGGCAATTGTCGCATTGAACTGCTTCGTAAATTATGCTAAAGAGTGTCAATGTTGTATGGAAATTGAGGAGTGCGTCGATTCTCTATACAATGACATTGTGATTTGTGATGCAAGAAGCTGAAGTCGCGCCATCATGTATAATTCAACAGCTATGGCTAGATAAGTGAGCTCTCCGTTCAGCAGCCACGAAATTACGAACAAGAAAGAAACAGGAATACCGTCAAACAAGCACAGAAGATAGGTAAATAAAGTTTTATTTATCAACATATTGAAATTAAGAAACACTTTACCGTACCCGAGTTTACTATCAGTGAACACACGCATGCGGTACGGTAACTGAGAGTTTATATACGGTACATACTGTACAATTATTGAATTATTATATATTTACATGTGTTCACATGCAAGTAAGCGACTTATTAAAAATACTTATTTATTAATTTATAGATTCTGAAGGAGCACAGCATATAGAAACTTTGTGTGGATGGTTTATGGACAACTAGGAAATTTTTGCGCATATGAGAAAATAATGCCTGCTGTTGATGAAGACTTTGTAGGATTTGTAGAGAACAGCTCTTGATATTATATAACTATTTTTCAATAAATAAACCTATTACACTGTATAAACGTGGTAATATTATACTGTATTGCGTATAGAAACAGCACATTTGCTATATTCATGACTTCAATACTGTTTTGCCAAAGAGACTGAAATTTGAGATTAAGATTTGTATCTGATGTTTTTCTGCACTTCGTGGGCGCGGGTTAATTTGTACAAAGTGTTGCAGCACGTTTAGGAATTTTTCTGACTTGTATTTCGTTCCAGGCACTGCCTTATACTATAGCAAATGTGGCAATGACTAAGTTATTTCATTAAGTTGCTTCAATGGATTATACTTTGTAATACATTTTATATACACCCCCGCAGTGTATGTGGTTTCATGCCACAATTTGTTACAAAATCTGCATATTGTACGGGTTTTCACCGCGGTGCAAACACAACGAGTGTATATATGTATAATTTACTGCGTCAAGTTTACTTATACGTACAATTCTACTTTCCCTGTCTAAACTAAAATACAAACAGTGCACATTGCTTGTAGATGTAAGAAATTGGCTTTCATCAGCTATATTTTGACCATATTCACTCATAGTCATAGCTATATTGTCGCGATATATTTCTGGTGAATCCATTGGCTGTGGCTCATTTATATTTATCGCGCTTTCCAGTTTCGTGACTATGACCATATTGGTTGACTGCATCGAAGCAGCTTCTAAATACAACCTATTCAAATAACGAATTTGGAATAAAAATTCATGATAAACGAAATTAGAGTATAAATTATACATATACCATTCTCTTGGCTCTCGCAGACAAAGGTTTGTCGTCGACAGTATTTGTATATTTTGGAATTGCAACGAAACCAATTTCGTCGGTAGCTAACTGTGGTTTTACCAGCAAGCTCTATCTTCGCAAAGTATGCTGAACATTGGATAAGTCAATCCGTGTCCTTTTCGCTTCATGCATCTCGCTTCCAGTAAAAGGTATAAAATGAAGTAAATGCCTTACTCTGTATCTGTGACATTAGAACAACCGCCTACTACACATATATTCGGCAATTTTTCAGTTTCGTGACTTTTATTTGCGCTATTGCCTCCTCTATGATAGTACATGCAATAGTATTTCTATATTAGTGAGCTACATAAGTTCCTACTATTACGTCACACGCATTGTTTCGTCCCAGTCCCTTTTGCGCGGTTTTCAGATTTTTCACAAGGCCAAATTCAATGTTTAAACGGCAATAACTTTTACACTAAAAAAGCAATTTCAATTCCGTTTTCGAATTTCCGTATATTTTGTATCATAGATTTCGAAAATATAAACTCTCATTTTGTGACAGGGACACTTTAACCAATGCAGACAATTAAAACAATGTGAAAAGCAATTTTTCAAAATAAACTAACCATTTATCAAACAATTTTACCATCATTCGTCCACAAATTATAATAAGTCGTTGTTATGTGGACTTATCTCGCAGACTTCGGCTGAAAAGCCACCCAAAAATGGCGGCGTAAGAAAGGCTAATTTCATTCAACCTCTGAATTCTGGTCTGAATCCGACTTGATCAAACTGTGTTCAGATCAGGCCGAAATATTTCATCGCATAAACAATATTGGCACAAAAACCAACTTCCAACAGTGCACTTGAAGCTAAGCAAGCTCAATCAATTTATATATTCAAAAGTTGTATAAAACAAAATTTTTGATGTTAATAACCGAGTGTGGATTCACTTAATCATATATTTATCTGGGACACACCATCGTGGTTTACCGTAGCTTTTGATAATGCACATATTGTAGTAGATTTATAGTTTCCTTCCTTTTTATATTCTTTGTAATATTTTTTATATCGACGCCTCCCGTGCCCCGCCGTGGAAATCAACTTTTGTAGTTGTTGGCGCTAGCATCGCTAAATAAAGTGTGTATGTATGTATGTATGTATGTATATATGCAAATTCCAACAAAGACAAGTAGTTTAAATTAAAACTGTCTGTACCAGTGTGGGTAGTACCAATGTGAAAATGCTGTGCTGAGTGGTTATATTACTACCTTTAAGAAATAAGCAGAAACTCGACGTTTCGAGCGAAGGCCCTTCGTCAAGAGTTAGTAGCCAAGTTTAAATTACATTTTTTCAGTATCGAGGTAAGCTGTTCTGACTTTTTAGAGCATACAATGCCTCAGGCCTCGAATTTCCCTGAAATCAATCGACGGCAATGGTGTTAAAAATTGCCGTAGAACGTAACAGTTGTCTACGGCAATTTTGGCAGTTTCCACGGCATTTTTTCAAATTACTGTAATAAAAATTTAATTTTATTGTTACTTTGGATTGTTGACAATCTAGAAACATGTTTACGTAACGTATTTCTTTAGTGTTTTTTTTTCGAAAACTGAGACTAAAATAGTAACTTACGCATGATTTGATCAACATCTGAATTCAAGTATCAAAATAGTAATGCACAGTGAATAGTATAAAAATTACACTATACGGCAAAAAATTTCCGCGTTGTTGCCGCAATGATCCACGGCATTTTGTTCTCCCTCTACGCCCGACTATGGCAATTGCCACGATAAAATTCAATTAATTGTTTTATAAAATAACTACAGTGAAGAATGGTCAAGTTAATTCACTCTCTGTAGTTATTGTAAACATTTGGCTTTGTTCACTGTTTTGGTGAACTTGCCACTCTGTACGGGTATTGACCAATCAGATTGCGTGTTTCACTGTAGTTATTATATAACATATTTATTGTTAATTCTACTGATTTTGCTTTAAATCGTGTGTATTCAATTGGTGACATAATCGTAATAGTTTATTTTTTTATAAACCTATTGGGGATCATGTGCATAATTAGCAAGATGCCTAAAATATTTTCATTATAATTTCTGATTTACAACCTAAAATGAAAATTAGTTCTACTGAGTAATGTAAACGTATACAGCAGACATTCAAACTACTCGACGTAAAATTTAGGGAGACTGTTCAATGAATTGAAATCTAGTTCTTCTGAGAAAAAATAATAAAAATTAAGTCTTCTGAAATGGCGTTTCCTGCATTTTGGGAGTATGTTGTTATAAGTGATCCCATAAATTGCCATAAAGTAACTTCATAAAAAGGTCAAGACAGACTATTATGGTGCTAAAAACAGTATATTTATGATTTTTTAATGATATTTCCTGAATATTCTGAAAAATCGGGAGAATTTCATAAAAATCGGGAGACCAGGAGATTGCATGAATTTTCGGGAGACTCCCAGTAAAATCGGGAGAGTTGGAATGTCTGATACAGACATATGGAGGTTGAACAATTATAGTATTGTGTTACCCCATTTAACATTTACATGTCACCAGGTGTGGGACAAATGTCCAGATCCTAATAATTTACTTGTTTTGCTGACCAATGATGGCCAGTAAACATTTAGAGTTTTATAGTCTGGCAGAATACTTTATACGTAGTCTTGTGATATACAGACAACTAGCTACCAGACAACTGGTGGTGTTCCACCCTCCTTCCCATACCCCCATTTAGTGGTGCCCCTGCAATTGGCAAACATATGTAAAACACTAAAGAACAGAATGCAGCTATACTGTCATACTATTTTGCGACGAAAGCTACTATTTAGTAAAGGTTTTCAGTAACCTGTATATTTCTGTAATATGTATAATAGGCTATATCATCATTCTAATAAAATGTGTCATCATAATAATCATGCGTTTGATAGCATTAAAACATCTTTGTGTGATTCGAGGTTCTGGCTTCAAATGACCAGTAGATACCATGTACACTATATATTAAATAGCATACCTATTTTTGTACAATGCCTGCATGTTGGCCAGCACACCAATTGTGGCAGAATTGTTGGACAGTGTTTTAAAGAAAGTTAAGGATTTTAATTTTGTAAGAGACTGGCTGCAAGAGCAATTCAATTAAAGGATTGGATTGGAAAAGCTTTGTGACACTTTTGAAGATATTTATTATAACAAAGTGTGTAATACAGCCTGCAATATTAGTAAACTGCCGAGTATATAGTGACTATAGTTAAAGTTGAATTTTTATAAGATAAACCAATCCTAACCCCAAACCCTTCTCTAACCGTAACCCCTAACCTAACCTTTTGAGAGTTAGAAAAGGCAGGAAAAAGTTTAAAAAATTTTAAGAAAAAAAATGCTAAGACCCCATGTACACGGTACCGGATGGATTTGGGACCGGTCTGAAATTTGTCCTTTTTCGCCTGTTTACACACAAATTCATCCTGTTAGGGGGTCTCAAATTCATCCGTTTCCGTAGTTCTCGTGAAAACGGAAGGCCAAAACGGACGAATTTTAACCCGGTTCCAAATTTGTCTGATACTGTGTAAACGGGGTCAAAGTCAGACAAAACACAACCCGATCCAGACTGCATTTCACTTCCCGAACGCAACGCCCTAACGGCAAACTCAGTAAAGACTAGCGCAAACAAAAGTTTTTATATTTAACTATAGTCACTATATAGCCGGCAGTTTACTAAATAGCTGCCTGAATAGACACTTTGTTATTATAAATGTGTGAAATTATTCAACTTGTTTTACATTCTTTAAACTGTGAAGTCTGTATGTACTAAGAATGAAAACGGAGAGAACATAAATGGTGAAGTTTTAAACTTTGAAATGAACAGTGGTATGTTTCATTGTTTGTTATTAATTTTCTGGTTCAGAAATATTCAGATATCTTCATTGACATATTGAATAATTTGTTGCATTAAAAATATATACATACCAAAACAATCTTTTTTGCAGGATGAAAATCAGAAACTGCTGCTCTGTCCTTAAAATCTTGTAAAATGGTTTCTTTTGGAATAACCTTGTGTGGATTTTCCGCATTCACATCTTCGTCAGCTATGCATCCAAATATTTGCTGTGTTTTACTGGTAAAGAATAGCGGCAATATATCTTGCGGGGCAACTAAATTACCGCTCCCATCCCCACTGTTCTGATTCGATGTTTCTTCTGACATTCTACATTAAATCTTTCAGAAATAAACCAAAAAATCTCGAGAACAAGGTTCACAATCTTTCAAAACTGCAAGTACAGCCCGCCATATTTCTTTCTTCGTGCAATCCTTGTTGCCAAGGAAACGTTGATAGAGCCGATGGCCTTAAAGTGTAACTGGACAATGACAAGATCCCAAACAAAGTTACCAAATAAAAATAAGGAACAATTTGCGGTTATACCATGTATTTAACTAAATATATGGTGTAAGTTCGATATTTCGATTTATCGCGATATTTTCAATCGCGATTATCGTATCGAAGGTAGAAACTTGAGATATATCGAAATTTAATATCGTCATGCTCGTTGACTATCGTGATATTGCTTCGCATGTGTATACTATATAGCTGTTATAAAATCCTAAAAAATTCCTTCAATTTCTAGAAAATATAGTTTTTATAAGAATTAAAACTACTTCCTGAATTAAATACGAATTTTATAACGACGCGACGATATAAAAGCTAATATTGGTAACGGGTCCATGTCTCGCTGAAACCCACTATATCCTTTACTATCCTTAGCCTTGTAATCTTGTAATCCTTGTAATCTTGTCATTCTTCTAATACCTCTAATCTTCTAATCCTTGTAATCTTATAATTGCTGTAATCTTGTAATTGCTGTAATCTTGTAATTGCTGTAACCTTGTAATTGTTGTAACCTTGTAATTGATGTAATCTTGTAATTGCTGTAATCTTGTAATCCTTGTAATCTTGTAATTGTTGTAATCTTGTAATTGCTGTAATCTTGTAATTGCTGTAATCTTGTAATTGCTGTAATCTTGTAATCCATGTAATCTTGTAATTGTTGTAATCTTGTAATTGTTGTAATCTTGTAATTGCTGTAATCTTGTAATTGTTGTAATCTTGTAATTGCTGTAATCTTGTAATTGCTGTAATCTTGTAATTGGTGTAATCTTGTAATTGCTGTAATCTTGTAATCCATGTAATCTTGTAATTGCTGTAATCTTGTAATTGCTGTAATCTTGTATTTGTTGTAATGTTGTAATTGCTGTAATCTTGTAATTGCTGTAATCTTGTAATTGCTGTAATCTTGTAATCCATGTAATCTTGTAATTGCTGTAATCTTGTAATTGCTGTAATCTTGTAATTGTTGTAATCTTGTAATTGTTGTAATCTTGTAATGCTGTAATCTTGTAATTGCTGTAATCTTGTAATCCATGTAATCTTGTAATCCATGTAATCTTGTAATTGCTGTAATCTTGTAATTGCTGTAATCTTGTAATCCATGTAATCTTGTAATCCTGTAATCATGTAATTGCTGTAATCTTGTAATTGCTGTAATCTTGTAATCCTGTAATCTTGTAATCCATGTAATCTTGTAATCCATGTAATCTTGTAATCCATGTAATCTTGTAATTCATGTAATCTTGTAATTGCTGTAATCTTGTAATTGCTGTAATCTTGTAATTGGCGTAATCTTGTAATTGTTGTAATCTTGTAATTGCTGTAATCTTGTAATTGCTGTAATCTTGTAATTGCTGTAATCTTGTAATTGTTGTAATCTTGTAACTGCTGTAATCTTGTAATTGCTGTAATCTTGTAATTGGCGTAATCTTGTAATTGCTGTAATCTTGTAATTGGTGTAATCTTGTAATTGTTGTAATCTTGTAATTGCTGTAATCTTGTAATTGCTGTAATCTTGTAATTGTTGTAATCTTGTAATTGTTGTAATCTTGTAATTGTTGTAATCTTGTAATTGTTGTAATGTTGTAATTGCTGTAATCTTGTAATTGATGTAATCTTGTAATTGCTGTAATCTTGTAATCCATGTAATTGCTGTAATCTTGTAATCCATGTAATCTTGTAATTGCTGTAATCTTGTAATTGCTGTAATCTTGTAATTGCTGTAATCTTGTAATTGTTGTAATCTTGTAATTGTTGTAATCTTGTAATTGTTGTAATGTTGTAATTGCTGTAATCTTGTAATTGCTGTAATCTTGTAATTGCTGTAATCTTGTAATCCATGTAATCTTGTAATCCATGTAATCTTGTAATTGCTGTAATCTTGTAATTGCTGTACTCTTGTAATTGCTGTAATCTTGTAATTGCTTTAATCTTGTAATTGCTGTAATCTTGTAATTGTTGTAATCTTGTAATCCATGTAATCTTGTAATCCATGTAATCTTGTAATCCATGTAATCTTGTAATCCATGTAATCTTGTATTTGCTTTAATCTTGTAATCCATGTAATCCATGTAATCTTGTAATCCATGTAATCTTGTAATTGCTGTAATCTTGTAATTGCTGTAATCTTGTAGTTGCTGTAATCTTGTAATTGCTGTAATCTTGTAATTGCTGTAATCTTGTAATCCATGTAATCTTGTAATTCTTGTTATCTTATAATTCTTGTAATCTTGTGATTTTTGTAATCTTGTAATTCCTGTAATCTTGTAATTCTTGTATTATTGTAATCATTGTAATCTTGTAATTGTTGTAATCTTGTAATTGTTGTAATCTTGTAATTGCTGTAATATTGTAATTGTTGTAATCTCGTAATTTTTGTAATCTTGGAATTCTTGTAATTTTGTAATTCTTGTAATCTTGTATTTCTTGTAATATTGAAATCATTGTAATCTGGTAATTGCTGTAATCTTGTAATTCTTCAAACTGTTTATTCTTGTAACTGTTATAATCTTGTAATCTTTGCAATTGTTGTAATTTTGTAATTCTTGAAATTTTTGCCAGCTGCTTGTAATTCTTGTAATTTCTGTAACATTGTAAGCTTTATATTTGTGACGTTTTAATTATTGTAATCTGGTAATGGAAGAAAATTTTTATAATTTAACTTGTGAAATCCTTTTTACAGCAATGTTTTAGAAGCAAAACGCAATTTGGGTTTGATTTGATATTGGGTTTAACTCCTAGTGATAACCCCGTAACGTTATGAGAACAAGGTACTGCTTTCGCAACAATTCTAGGACAGGATATTTACATACTGTATTTTAGCACCCGACGGGTGCTTATTTAAGGAGGGTGTTACTGAATAGAGGCTGCTGGATTTATCCTTCTCAAAGACATGATTTTAGCAACCATAATATTAGATTTGATGTTGAAATTTTTGCTCACAAGAAAAGAAACGCAATTCATGATAAATTAAAATGTTTGTGTTAGTAAATTGTATAAGCGTCAATATGTATTGAAATCTAGTTATTCTAGGGCACTTAAAAACGCACAAGTTGTTACAGGTCCGCAAACAAGTTGTTAGAAACATGTTCCCAAGTTGTGTTCGCACTGCTTGTTCTTAGTTGTTGTAACAAGTTTGAAACAAGCTGTTAGCAGCTTATAACAAGCCTGATGCATTATCAGACTATTTATTATCAGACGTGTTACAAGGTTGTTCTAACAAGTCTGATACATGACTTGTATAACAAGAATATGACACAAAGGTTGTAAGAGTATTGCAGTTTATATAGTCGAGAAAAAGATGTTTTCTGACAATTTGCCATCTTGAATAAAATACGATATCAGTTTCAAGTTTACTTTTCGCAAAAAAACTATATCGTTACGGCATTAGAACGATCGCAAAAAATTATGTACATATAATACATTTAGGCGAGTAGTGCGAATTTTCAAGCCAGTTCTGACATAAAGGAGCTTAAATAAAGTTGGCAACTGTGTAGCGGACTATTTTAGCGCATTTAATTTTCTTCAGTTTTGAGCATTTTTAAAAGCACATGCAAAATTGCATATTACTCGTTTAAATGTCTTATATATACTTTTTATACTTTTAATAGCATATAGTTTATACTTCTGTTGAACATGAACTTGAAATTTTGCATTTTTGCCATCATAGTACTTAAAAATTCAAAATGGGTGCCAACATATGGTCTTGTTCGTTCCTACAAAAACGTCAGTTGGGAGCTTGTAACAGAAAATACCATAAAAAATGTTGTTGCACCTTTTTCAAGTTTTGACCGGCCGCCTAGTAAGCGCCATATAAATTCCTGTGCAGTGTTGGGCGAATATTTGGCAAAAGTAAAATCAGTTGTTAATCAAATCTCGATCACCACAAAGAAATAATATATAAAGCGAGATCTCCCTACACTTGCAAGTCCGCCCGGCTCGCACGAACAAGCCCTTAGTAGCACATGTCTGATCCTAAAAACCATTGGAAATGCAGTTTCCCCATGAGCTGTGTGTGTATATGGCCCCTTACTACTTTATGCAACATTGTTTCTGCAAATACCTTACCTAAAAATACTCACTAGATTAGAATAACAATTAATAAAGTGACTTCTATTTGTGATATATCTCATGCCTGGCATGAAGGCATAAGTCATTGAGCAAAGCAACTATATTGCCAAAGCAAATATAACAAATTGAACTGCATTTACCTGAAACATAACTTCTTAAGGTAAACAGTATACTTTGCATGATACAGAATCTTTTAGTTTGTCTAGTTCTGTATTTGTGAATGTCTCTAATGCCTGACATAAGTCATATATATCTAACTCAACACAATATTTGGTAAACAAGAGGACTCTAGCAAGTGATAACTGACAATCATATTCTAATATGTCAGATTCTACTTTCTGCGCCTACCCTCTTTGGCAGATTCTACTTTCTGCGCCTACCCTTTGCAGAATAGAGATCCTTTCGATCTTTCTACTTCCGTTTTTCTATTCTTATTTCTATCTCCATTGTCTCCAATGCTTCCCATAATTTTGTTGCCCTCATTTTTCTCAACTATTCCATTTCACCGCTCTTTGATTTTTCGATTTTAGTGCAGTCGCTCTCTGATGATTCGTCACTACCCGAGTCGTCACTATCTGTGTCGTCACCTATCTGTGTCGTAAACTAAAAATCATACCGTATTTCGGGATTCGTAATCAATCAATTAGCTTCAGTCACGTCATATTAATTTGTTGCCTGCACTGCATTTAGTGGTTGTCTATCATTATACTTGATGCAAGATTAATCTACATGAATTGAATTATCTATCTATAAACAATATCGGTCGTTGATTGATGTTTGTATCTTTTCTAACGTTAACATTTCAGTTGTGATTATGCATCAAGGCAATGACGAAAACAAATGGCTGCTTCAAAATGGTCGCCTCGTAGCTTCTGAAGAGGTTGATGAAGATGGAAATTTTCATGTGAAAAACATCATCAGTCACGAGTACAGAAGTGATGAATAAACCGACACAGTTTTCACTTTTCTAGTTGGAATGAAGGTAAAAGCAGACTGACCATGAGGTACAAACTATAACTATCTAATTTTTACTATATGAATCCCATTAGCTAAGAGAAAGAACAATTGGCTACGAACATTTACGGCCAGTTCAGAATTTTTTTTTATAGAATGATGCTAGTATATGCCCAACTATAACAAATGCAATTTAACTAAATCTCATAATTAACCCAACCACTTTTCGAACAACCGACCTCCGATCAGTGAGTATATTATCAAAAAGCTGGGTGGTTACAACTGCATTAAACATTCAGTTGCTTCTTAACAGAAAAAATCAATGTAAATGTCCTTGTAATAATTTCCGCTCATTTCCTTACTAATTATAATTTAGGCGGATAATGAAAATACCTCGGATACAGAGAACTCGGACACGAGGTAGGTAATCTTCGAGTTAAGCCCCTCGAGTTAAGCCCTTCGAGTTAAGCCCTTCAAGTTAAGCCCTTTTCGAGTTAAGCCCGACCACGCCCAAACTACACCCATTTTCGTCAAGGACTTAACTAGAAGAAAGAAACGCAACTTGGAAAGTTCGAGTTAAGCCCTGGGAAAAAAGAGGGA